CACACCCATTCCCCTGGAAGCTGTGCTTGCCGTAGCCACTGCCAACGCTGTCCATGAAATGCCATTTTATGATGCTCAGCAACAGAGCCCCATACTTATGCCCTTCACCTTTTGTTGCTTGGCATTTGCTGATGATTAGTCAACAGGACATTTTTTTCCCATTGCACCAGATCATATCTAGGTACGTTTTTGTCTCTGTTTATTACAATTATTTTTTTATTATTCCTTGAAACACCAGGCTTTGATCACTGTCAGGGACTGATTAATGAGAAAGATGGAATTTCCATGTCCTCTGAGAATGCAATCTTTATAACTCCTTTTCAATGGTGTCATCTGCTTGTATCCTACTTTAAGGGCCTTTTTCAATAATGGCCAAGAGATATGGTTCTTGAAATCTTTAGTTGTCATATGGGAAGGAAGAGATATTTGGTCATATATGGCTCATCTAACCACTTGTTCTCAACCTACCATGGCAAGCAGTGTTTGACAAAGGCTCTAAATGCAGAAAGCTTACAAAATCATGGGAAGGATTCATTTAGAAAAGCTCTCTTCCTTTAGTTTATTGTGTTCCTGATAACGAACATTTTTTAGCAACAGAAAATAAGTATTGCTGGAGCACAACTTCACAACTGAAGTGACTGGAGATGCCTTAAATAAAGGACACCAAAGACGCATGGGCTCATCTGCCTTTATGAATCAGGATTACCCTAACTCTTCCTCCCATTTGACTTTTCCACTCATAATAGGGTGGGTGATAATAAGAGGCAGAGGTACGTATGGCTTACATGTATAACGATAAAGCTGCCTGTAGAGTCACATAAAGGGGGCGGAGGGTCACATCTCTAGGTTACAGCTGAGGTCTTTTTTGATCACAAAGTCCAATGGGAAGAATCAATCCTGCCTGTTTCACAGCACTGAAGTCTCTCTTCTGTGCTGTGACCCTCAGGACGAATTCAGCTGTGTCTAGCACTTGGAGCCATGGTGCAGGAGAGGGACCACAGCGCAGTCCTGTGCAAACTCCTGAGGTACAGACTGGGCCACAGCACAGCAACAGGAAAAGAACTGGAAAGGGGCTGCACAGCCTTCTGTTCCAGTTCCACGTGCTTATATTCTTATAGGTACCAAAAGACATTTCAAAACTTTAAAACAGAAAGAAAAAAAAAAAAAAAAGGATAAAAAATAACTTTAATTGCAGACAGTGGCATAAAACCTGGGGCACGCCATCAGCCTTTTTCTACCAGGTAGTAACTTAACTGGCTGGTTTAAAAACCTGCTGCCTTGCCCTGTTAGACTCAATACCTGTCACATGATTAATGTGCCCATGTCTTATTAACTGCTGTGTTACAGGAGCTGCTGTATTCTCAAACACACACACACACACACACACACTTCTCATTCTGAAAACCCAGCTGAAATCACGCTTCTTTGACTGGAGGGTACTGCACCTTCTGACAAAACATCATAAAGAGTGAAGAATTACTGTTTTTCAGTGATCCAACCCATAAATCAATCCTCTCATTTTGCTGCAAGGATGGTATGGGATTCCACAAGTGCTCCCTAAATTCGTATTCAAAAGACAGGTTGTGTCCTCACAAAAAAAAAAAAAAGGGAGAGGGAGAGGGAAAGAGAGAGGAAAAGGGAGAGGGACAGGGAGAGGGAGAAACGAGGAATGGCTGAATCATTCCAGAGCCTGATTGATCTTATCTGGACCTCCCTTGCTGCAACAACAATTTGAGCCTGTAGAAAATTGCCACCTTATCTGATGGGTGGTCCTACCAACTGCTTTGTTATCAGAGCCCAGCTGCACGAGGAAAACAGCATGTGGCATGACCTTGGTATGTCAGCGCCTGACCTCAATATCTAATCAGTCAGATGTCTCACCGAGGCTGTCTCGGGATGCTGTACATGCCCCCTCTGGCACCAAGTCATTCAAAAGATGTTTGCTTCATGCTCGTGTTAGCCCACCAGCACACACACAGTACATCCTAGTGCATCACCACCCTGACTGCTAGTGCTGTGACACTTGAGGCTTAAGGTGCTTTTCTGCAAAGCTTTGATCAGCCTTTCTCCTAAAAGCTGGCTTTGCAGGACTGTAACCCAGACAGCAACAATTCAGCTTCCAAATTCGGCCTCCAAATTCATTTCATTGGTTTCACGTGTTTTATGCAGGCTATACAGCACGTCTGTCAGTGTAGTTAATGTACCTACAGAGCACCATAACACAGATATTGCCTCATATCCAGTAAAAGGAAGAACATGGGTGTTTCTCATACAAACAGGGTGAGGGTTTAATCCCAACTCTAATGCCTATTAGCTGTGTGACTAGGGGAAAACCACTCCACCTCTCTGCTCTGGCTGGAGGAGAGCCTGGGACTCTGCCATCCCCATCTCTCTTGCCTGCTTGATCCTTTTCAGAGGTTGAGGATGTCCAAGAAAATTCCTTTTGGAAGAGCACAGTTATTTCTGTAGCTCTGTGCTGCCTAGTTCAACAAGTGTGGTACAAATATCATGCTGAAAGAGAAGCCTAGGCTCAAACCACCTGATATCATTAGGCAAGCAAGAAAAAAGGTTGCAAGATGCAAAACCCAAAGCACAGAGAAATTAACTATCCAGGGAAGATCAGAGTGCTCTTTCGTGTCATCTCTGAAAGGAAGATGTAGATTTTCTGTTTCAATATTATGGCTTTTCATTCCTTTATATGGGTACATTTATTATACAGAATTTTTAGAGGGCTGAATTTAGAATTAGAATCAAAGGTTTTGATTCTGCTATGCAAAAAGTCTTTGATATGATTCCAATTTCCTTTTCTCCTTTTTTTTCTCTTCTCTTTTTTTCCTTCTGGAAATAACTACATCTTTGTTTGTTTATTCTGTTTAACAGAAAATCTTCTGTAATTTCAGAATTTCTCAGAAAACATCAACTTAATTTCCCAGCCAGCTCTGTCCATCACTTCTGCTGCGTGCAGTGACTGTTAAAAGGGGTCTTTGACATGCTCTTCACACACTGTAACCACACACAAATTCTGGCATATCCATCCACAGGAAGTGTCAGAAAAGGATGGAAGTACATTGCAGAAGATGACTGTCACAAGGTCTCATCTGGGAGTGAATTTATCTATGCAGTGAGTAGGGGCTATGGCAGGAGAGCCCATGCAATGGCAATTATGAGGCAAATCAATGAAGCAGTGCATTTCTTGGGCAAGTCTTTTTTTGTTGTTACTGTTCCAAAATGCCAAAACATTGAATTTCATGGTGCCTGTGACAACCCTCTTGCATTAAGAACTTGGAGACCTACATAAGCCTAGAATTTTAGTCCTTGAAGGAGTTGCAAAGTCTATTTTTAATGCTGGTTTTATTTCCCTGCCCCCCACCCTTTAAGTAACAATAATCATAATAGGAAGAAGAAGAAGACAAAGAAGAATTTGTGTATTTTTGTTCAATTTTCATTCACAAGGTGCTCGGCTTCCTCCTATTGAACTACGGCTGCTCAGAGTCAGCGGACTTGCTCTCTCCTAAAGCCAGTTCTAAACACTGTTAAAGGAAGGCAGATGCAAGGGAATCATTACTGTATTTATTTAATTTCCCAAATAAATAATATTTAACATGTGTATGTTTGGGCTCTGGCTGCCCACAGAAAGGAACCGGGTATGACAATACTTGTGGCTTGGAATAGCAAACCTGTTGAGGAGGATTGCCTGCTGCCGACTGACCGCCTGCACACATAGCCCACCCCGGGCAGCATTCCTGCACTTGTGGGGACGTCACAGCAAATTCCAATCCAAATAAAGCTGTGGAAGAGCAGATAAACAATTGCAACTCCACACGCACAGATGCATATACACAAAAATGTCCCCTTATCAAGGCCAAGATAATAAACCTGAGAATGCAGCCAAGTACATCTTAGTTGTGTGACAAAACATAACAGATTGCCTAGCTTATTATTTGGGAGAAGAAGAACATACAATTAAATAAAACTTGTTATTAAAAGCACCCCCCTGAAAATAGATGTCAAACCCTGACTAGACAAATGTGGTATTTCAGGTGGAAAATTGAATGGACTTAATAGGAGTAATACGAACGGTTGGTCTTGGAAGAGCTTATAAACTGCAAATATTGCTCACTGCAGATGCTAACACAATGATGAATATATCAAAATATTAGTATCAAAAGACTGCTGGAATATATTTGCAATGTTGCATAAAGCGTGAAGGGAGGTAGCTGTCCTTCCCCTGGCTTTACATTAATCTCTGGGTACTGGCTGATAGCAGGGGCCACAAGCACTATAATTAGATTTTGGAAATGTATATAGGGAGTAGGAAATGGAATAATTAAGGTAAGCTATCAGATGCCTGTCCTCATCCTTTTTAAACAAGCCAGAAATATACCCTGCACTCGTTCAGCATGCAACCTTCAAGGGGAAAGGTGTCAGACACTGTAATTGGTAGAACTTGAATGCTGCTATACTGGTGTCCCTTTTTTAAGGAAACCTATTTTCCACACCAAAATTGATCCGGCAAGGTTGTTATCTCATAATGCACACCTAGAGAGGCACTGCGAGGCCTCAGGGTAGAGAATAGCAAGGCACTTAACAGCCTTGGCTGTGCAGCCTGCAGTGCTGCGCCCTGTCTTGGGGAACTTACCGCCAAGGCACACGCTACATGGTAAAATACATGCATATGTATGTGGAGAGTTTGGCTTTTGCTTTAAAATATAGGGGTGAGGCAGTGAAAAGGTGCTAATGATACAGCATCCAGCCGAGTCTGACAGCCAAACGGGATGTGCATTTGCTTCTCCCTCTGGGGGTGTTCACAGGCAGGACAGCCTCTGCCCTCCCACCAGCCTGGCACCTCTGAAGGGCGTAATGGCTTTTATTTAATTATCTTTTCCTCCTTAAGCAACAGAGAAGAGCCAGAGAACTTAAACAAATACACACACACACCAAAAAAAAGAAAAATAATAATAAATATATATATATATATATTGGTATGGAAAATTATTTGACATCATTCTTAAATATTTAAAGGACACTGTCTGCTGGTTTGGAAATCCAGTGAATAATTTAGTACTGTTTGACAGAATATCTTTGGGTCAATTATTCAGTAAGTGGATTAATACATTCTGACTAAAACAAAGCACATTGGGTTTTGGCGGGCATATCTCGTTACATCACATATTCCATGTCACATTACATTGCAGAGAATGCCAGCACAATCAAATGGTGCAACTTGACTTAAACAATGCAATCAGAATAATTTCCAAATATTTTTCAAAAGCTTCCTGTTCCTGACTGTTTCTCTACCTGGTCTGTCTATATTTATCTGTCTAAAAAGGAAAATAACACAGCCAGAGATCTGATCAACTTCTAAAAAAAAATATCCAGATAGAAACTGCCAGCAACTCTTGACCTCATTATAACCCTAAGTATCTTATCTATACCAAACACTTTAATTTTAGAATAGCATCTTTAAAGCCCCAGGGGAAGAGAGAGAGCATCTCTTGATGCTTGACAGCAATTCTCTAACACTGACATGGTCCAAAAGAGATATTCTTATCAAATCCTTCTGAAGAAAGCAGCTGTAGTATAGGATCTCAAGGGCAATGGGGATACAATACAGGTTAAAAAAGGAAGGATCCTTGGGATTTCAAGAGATATGTAGAAGCCTTCAGAGGCAGCAGCTGTCTCACACCAGAAGGAGTTTTACAGATAAAACTCAAATGGAGGTTCCTGCTCATGTTTCAGATCACCGACAGTCACACCTCCCTCTCCTGTCCTCCTACTTTCCATTCTTCCCCAACATGCTGTTAAGGAACAGGTGGGACTTCTTTCCAAAGCCCTGGACTGCAAGAGGGTGGTAGGATGTAGGGGAGAGGGAGAAAAGGGGAGGGGGGAGCTGTTATAATTTTAGTAAAACTAATTAAAAGTAGAAAATTCTATTTAGTTGAGAATTTTCAGATTGTACTTCTACTGGAATAGGATAAAAAAAAAAGTCAGTAATCTCATAACTTTACTGTGAAAGAAAATATTCCGAAACCAATTCTATGTTTATGCATTTTTTATAATTACAGCATGAATATTGCAAGACAGTGTAAAACCCAAAATCATGCTGTGGAGGACAAATACTCAATTTTATGGGAGTGATCTGAGTATAACATGATATTTACATCATTAAAGTGAAATATTTCAGCAAAAAGTTTCCCTTCACTGCAGTCAGCATTTTCTGATCAAAATGTTTTACCAGCTCAAAATTATGAAGACAGATATGCAAATTGCATCTGAAGGCCTGAGCAAAATCAGAATAAAAAGCACAAGAAAAATGAAAGATGCCTCTTCCTCTACTCTCATAACAGAGATGCTAAGGCCTTTCTTATACTGTATGAAAGTGCAGATCCTCTGAAATGAAGAGAGTTGCACCCTTGTACCCTTGCTGCAAGCCAGAAGAAAATTTCATTCTCCAGCTGGGTTAAACAAAATTCTCCACGCAGCACTTCTAGGATGTCTTTGTCATCCTACGATATGCTTTGACCAGGGGCTGCTTTAGCACAGCAAACAGCACATCTGGGAAGAAAAGGTGAGTTTTCTGAACACTTATTAAGGATGACTCAAAAGGAAATTTTGTTACTATATGTGTGAATGGGAGCAGGGATGAGGTCAGGATAAAGCCCCAGAGAAGCTAGTAAGATTAATCGTGAGGAGTCCCAGGAGGCTTAGTTCAGACCAGCACAGAAAACTTCCCATACTCACACACAGTGTTTCTAGGCTACCCAAACAGTTCCATTTCCCTTCCAGAGCTGCAGGAGGGTAAGTCATCATCATGTTTCCAACACAAGGCCTACAGTCCTGCCTGCAGTCCCGTGGCTCAGAACCACCAAGGCCACAAGTACATTGGCCTGTTCCTGCTCTTCAGGACCAGAAGGAAGGTCAAATGCTACCAAAGAGGGGAAAACAAACAAACAAAAAATGACTGAAAAGACTAGAAAAGACAGGACATGAAAATGGGCAGACTCTTACTTGCATCAAATTTTCTTACCCTTTTTTTGTGCTTTGTGATAGGGATCACAGTACAGCCCATGGTGATACTTCACCCTTGTCTTTTCAGGTATTCAAAGGAGTTTTCCCCATTGTGTTGACTGGAAAGTAGAGGCAAAAGGAAAGGGACTGATGTAAGAGCTTAGTGGTTAGCAGCACCAACCTGCACAGTTGTGCACGTCAGCACTGTTGGGTTGCAGTGCCTCCACCAAACAAACTTCCACCTGCCAGAGCCCCCCGAGAGCTCCTTTGCAGTAAGGTAAGAAGCAGCAAGCACTGATGAAAAGGTACAGCCCAAGTTCCCCTTTAAACTGTTCAGTAATAAATATTAATATTAAAACCCCCGTAACCACCTAAAAATGCATCACATCAAGGCCCCTATCCTTGACTTTTATGCACATAACTTTGCTCTGAGTCAGCCTCATTAAGCCTAGCTGAATAATTCGAATTCTCAAGTGTTTGGAGGGGTGAGGAATGAATAAACAAAGCAGGAAGCTCACAGATCCTCCTCACATTTTTAAAACATGTACTTCAAAAGAGATATTACAAAAAAATATTTTAAAGACAATAATGCAATAGACTGAGATGAGAAAATCTACTCTACAAGAGCCTCCAACTTGTGTTGCCAGCCACCTCGCTTGATATGGGGCTGCTGCAGTATAGGGAAATGTAGCTGAACAAATCAGTTTGAAATTTCCTAAATTCCGTCACGTCACACTGAAAGGAGATAGCAAGCCATTTTTCACACAGGGTTAAATATATATACACATATAAATGTATACGTGTGTATATATATATATATTTGGAGCCTTCTACAGGCATAGCAAGGACACAGCCAAGCACCTTGAGTTGTGCCGGTCCCAGGGCAATGCCACCAGCAGGTGTCATTGCGAGGTAGCACTGAGGGCACAGGAGTGTGTTTTGTTCCCCTTAGCCCTGATGGAAGGAAACAGGCTGGAGGTGGGAGATGAAGGGGAGAAGAGGGGACAGAGCCCAGGGGTTTTGTGCGAGGTCTGTGGTATTGTCCAGGGGTGTTGTCAGCAGGGCAAGAAGTAAACTGCATCACTAAGTGCACGAAAAGAAAACCTAAAGAATTAATCTTGATATTGCCCCAAAGTGAACGCTTGTTGATGCTTGGCCATGGGGAAAAAAGGAGGGGGGGGAGGGGAGAGGAGGGAGGCGGAGATGGAGCATTACCAAAAGAAAACAAGAGCATGCATGTAAACATTATTCCAGGGTTTTTGCAAGCCTTGCAGGTAATGATTTGTTTGCCAGAAGCACGGGCAGCCTCCTGCCATTTTATACACACAGCACTATCCCTTTGCAAGGACAAAAGAATCAAGGGGTGAAAGACCGGAGTCAAAAATAAAAGTGGCTGGTTAGATGACTAATTCAAGATATGAAAAATGCCTGCTTTGACTAATAGCATTAGTTTAAAAACTATGGGTTTTAGACTTTATTACTTTAAAAGTGTCTGAATATCTAAGCTGGAAAGCACAGTGATGAGCCCAACTATTTCCTTTCACTGATGCAGGGAGAACTAGCAGAGACTATGCCTAACCTCTTGAACAGCAGTAGGAAATGGCCTCTCAATGCTATGAGCTTCGTGCTCTTATCTTCTGTTCCTTAGCTACAGGACATCAGTTAGAAAGATATCCAGTCCTGACAAAAGGCATTTCAATTCCACAGAAAATAAATAAGGGTTTTGTTTTCCCCCTCAATGTACCTGATTTTTTATTAAGACATTGTCCTGTTAGTAAGTGTATGTTTTCTGCCTCCCTCATTCAGGAAAGTACTTGAGTGCTTTTTCAAATAAGGGGTGGATATGAAGCACACATTGAAGTTTTTTTTCACAAACAGGAATCTCATTTCTCAACAAGCCCAACATCCTTTGTGTAGATGAGGTTCAACCTAGCAGGATCTGCTGAGATCAGGGGAATCAATTCCATCTTTCACTGGTACACAGGCAGAATTGGGGCTCCATGCTTAATGAAAGCAAAACAAATGCCGCTCTCTTTGGAAGCAAAGTTACACAGGAAAAACACTTAGGAAGAAACATTCCAATAAAAAATAACTGGAAAAGATCAAAGAAGCAGTCATGGCTTAACTGACACCTGTAACTTTATCTCTTTCTCTAGTTACAGAGGAAGGAGGATTACATGAATGGGGGCATACTCCCAGCGGGAGGAAATGTGGCATTTGACAGGTGCAAGAAGCCAGTGAGTTATGGGATATGTAGAACAGAAGAACCATCTATTTTCTTACAAACTGTTCAAGGCTCAGTCTGTAGAAAATCAGAAAGAGATGATTAAGATTGAAGTGAAAGACATGGATTTTTTTATTTTTTTTTTTCAGGATGAGGGTAGAGAGGGAGAATATCAGTAAGGAAAAGAGCTGAGTTGGAACTGTAAATCCAAATTTGCATTCCAGTGCTATAAAAGCATGGTGGGACATTATGGCATCTCTTTAATCATGTAAATGAGCTCGAGGTTGAGTTCTACTCTTACAACCAGAAATGCCTGTAACATAACATCACGCATGTTCAGAACACCGCAGGCTGTCTAGTCTACTGGAGTCTGACTAAATAGACCAGTTTTCTTACTTGTCCTTAAATTTTATCATCTCTTCCATGGAGGAGGAAGAAATGGCCACTAATAAAAACACAGAATAGAAACAACTATACCGACAGCAACGTGAGGCTCTAAACAATGCATAAATGTACAACAATACCTCATGTCTCCAAGAGCTGTGTTGAGGAGCCTTGGCCAGGCTGGGGGCTGCACTCAGTTTGCCCCTGCTCTTGGTTTGAATCTGGCTGGTCTGTACTTGTGCTTCTGTTGTTCAAGTGAGAGCTTGTGATGGTATAAGCAGAAATATTTCATTATCTCTTCTGCCGTAGGCAACTGCAGCTGAGTGCAAGTATATTCCCATTAAGTCATGTGCATTAACTGTGTGCTACTAGTAGTGAAGTAGGAAACTACTACACAATCTCCAAATCATTTTATTTCTTTCTTCCCATCCTCCCCTTACTAGGAATGGATTGAAAGGGCAGCCTTTTTGCTTTTTTCTGCTTTGAAAGGGGAAGGAAATGGCAGCTTGAAGCTGAGAGCAAGATTTCTCCACAATATAAAACCATACACTGCCTCTGATGTGAAAGGAACTACGCTGATTTATACCCACAAAGACTGCGTCTCTCTAACGTACTACATATCCTATGCTAGTGCTGCACCAGGTACTCAGCTGAGGTATACAACAGCCTCATTTTCCAGCGCTCACAGTACTGTAGGGAAATGTTTCTTTAAAAAAAAATAGAAGCAGACATTGTAATTCCATTGTCTTTCATTACGTGGCTCTCACAGTGAAGACAAAAGTAACACTCTCATCAATGTCAACAAGATCAGAATATGGCCCTCAGAGAATATTTCATATTGTTACATCTTTTCATGATTTCAACAAAATTTCATTCCTGAATAACAACCCCTGGTTTATGATAGGAAATAAGTGCTCTGTCACACCCCAATAATTAGAACATCACAGGCAGAATGTAAAACCAGGCAGTAAAATGACACTAAGTTTCTGGCAGAACTTGGAGCCACATATAAACCATAAACAAGATGATACAGACAAGACATAGTTGTACTCCTTCTTTTCAGGGAGTCTGATAATAGAAAGGTCAATGCCTCAGGATAAAACAAAACACTAAAGATAAGCTCATGTTGGAAAGCAGTTACATTTCCCCGCTTTATATTCAGACAGTAAAAATTTCAGCACAAGGAGCTTTGGCCATATGCCTCTCTTCGTATATCAGGAACTACTTAAAACACACTGGGAGCTGAATAAATCTCAGTGAGGTGACTATCGCTGACCATATGTGATGAAGAAGGAAGAGTCTGCTGTGAAATGTGTTTTCTTTCCTTTTTTTTTTTTTTTTTTTTTTTTTTTTTTTTTTTTAGAAACAGAGATGAGCTTCGTGCTTTCAGCTTCTTGCTAAGCTAGAGACAATTTCTTAAGCAGAATTCTAAGAAAGAGGAAGGAGGAAAGGCAGGAAATATACCATGAACCACCCAGAGCAGATAAATATTCAGACCCAGAGCTGCAATGGAAACTGAGGTTTCCACCCATTGCAGCAGAAAATATGTTTCTCACATTGCACATCCATAAATCATTGTCTAGAAATAAAACTTTTAAAAAGTAAATTCAAAAACAATTTATGGTCTCCAGACAGGTTAAATCAAAGTGATACTCGTGTACTCAAGCAGAGAAGTGTGTAGGTTTTATAAAAGATTAAAAATATATATTTTGCCATGAAAATGAATTACTTGGTAATAAGATATGAAACCCACTGCAAACTGCTGATTTCAGTGTAGGTCTGAAATGCTCAGAAGGCCAGGCAAAGTCCAGCTCTGGATTAAATGCATGTGTGGTCTCTGCCACTTTCTGGTGAGCAGGGGTCCAAATCCTGAAATCACCAGTGGGTAAGCTCAGAGAGTCAAACCAAGGACCAAAGAGCCTCTGACTCGCCCCTGCTCAGCACACTGCTATGACCATTCACCCATACAGCAGCTGGGGGAAGGTTTATTTGCTAACAGGACCCAGGAGAAAGTTTACAGCAAAAGCATGATAGGAGCAACACATCAGACTGTGCTTTGGCACACACAGCTTGCAGGGCCACCCTGTATTCCCCCATGGCAGCTCCAGTTCAGGAGTTATTACTAATATTAACTTTTTAACCTAGTTTCTTAAGGAAATGAGGCTTAGGCAATCATTTTGGCTGGCTGGTTTCCCTAATAATTTTGAGCCTACTAACCAATTTCAGCCAAGTGGAATAGAGGGACAGAGTTCTCAAAGACAATAATGTTCCTACAAGTTTTGTAAAAACAGTTGTCAAGAGGGAAAAGGCAGAACAATGAAAATTTATTCCCTGCTAAGGGAAAAGTTGCAGTGTGAGGTCATCATTTATACAATCCACACGGAAAAAGTCTGCTACAGATGCTGTCAATACCAAAAGTTCAGTAGGCACTTACACTTTCAGAGACTCCAAAGTAAACTGGCCTGGAGATGCAAGCAACTGGCTTCAGGCAACCCAGCTTCATTAGTTTCAGAGCCTGCAGAAACTCTCATGTCCCATCTAAGTACAAGTGTCATGCTGACTCACACTGGAAATTCCCCATACGATACCATTCCCTGTGACATTTCCTATTGTCAGAAACTGCACTGGGTCCTGAAACTCTTCTCACAAGAAGCCAGCCACAAAGGATTTCTTTCAAACTACTGAGGCTGTGATTATTTTCCTTAATTACCAAAAGCTGGTTGTTAATTCTTCTGTTTTTCAGCCTACCTTCAGCTGTCTCTTTTTTATATCAGTCAATAGTTGCAACACATTCTAACACTGATACTATCAGCAACACCTTTGTAACATTCCCCTTGAATTCATTATCTACTTAGTGCAAGAATGATAATGACCCATATCTGCTATATCAAATGGATGGTGTGGGCCTCTGTGTATTCCTAGTGTGTGTAACCCATTGCTATGCATCCACCACCACCTAGAACTCAGAAGAAAAATAAAAGAGCAGATCTGAATACCTGAAGACCTGTATCTGGGTGATGCCACGATTTATCTGGTGGATTCCACTGAGCTTGCTTACATTTTTGTCTTCTGAAGAGTTAAAATCCAACACGTGAGGGCAGACTTACAACACCAGTTTAGCAGCCCCCTTTTCCAGAAAAAAAAGTTTCATTTAAACAACAACAACAACAACAAAAGAGAAACAAAACCTCATCAACATCTTGCCTAGCTCCTGTTGAAAAATACTTCTCTTTGAGAAATCCAGGACATTCCTCTTTGCATTAATTGCCAGCTTATTAGTGGAATGAATGTTGCCAGTCTTTTCTCAAGCTGCTTAGAGGTGAAGAGCCTCTTTCTTTCCCTTTACCAAAAACAACAACAAAACATCCCAAGAGAGAAGAAAAGAGAAAAAGGAAAGGGAGCTGCTGAGAGCCAAGCTACTTATTCATCTTCAAACATTGGTTTCCATGGGAATAAGTTCAGTTCTTTGTGGAGGCTGAACAGCCCCATGCATACTAGGTCTAATGCCTCCAACATTACATTTGTGTGGTCAACTTTCCTTTGGCCTCCTCTCATCCCCTTCTTCCTCATCCCTGCTCAGCAACAAGACTGGTATCACAAAAATAAAGAAATCATTCAATAAATTGGCTGAATTAGGTTTGCATCAAAGCCCATTGAAGCCTTTCTACTGCCACCAGTGAAACTTGGATGAAGCCCTCACAGAATAAAGCACAGTGACTTCCAGTGAGCTTGTCAAAATGGTTATCCAGCCCTCGTTTGACTCAACTTTTCTATTTGGATGGTTTCTGTCTCATATTTGTCCTTTACCTCTGGATTTATTTATTTTATTATTATTATTTTTATGTCCCTTTTACAGCTCTCTAGTGTTTCTCAGTTTTGCCTGATTGTGTAGAACTTCCAAATCTGGTTATATTCCTGCTTAAAAGTGAATCCTTACCTGTACACCAGGAAGGGCAGAGGCTCACCAATTGTGAAAATGATAACACATAATACATCAGTATCTATACAGATACTGAAAAATAGATTTTGGATGAAGCTTATCTTAAATCAAGAAACATCTTCCCTACATTGAACTGCTTAGAGATTCACCTGGTTTAGTCTTTGCTTTAAATCAGGCAGGTGAACAAATCAACATGATATTCCTGTTAGAGTGGTAACTAGATGAAGACTAGATGACCTCAGGGTTTAGCAAAGAAAAACTCATGGTCTGTGTACTCTGTTTGATCTGACTATGATAATTTCCTAGTCCTCTAGGCCTCTTTTAATCCATTTTGATGTATTTTTTTTTTAAAAAAAAGGAACTGTTTATAAATCCATTACTCAGAAGCTGCCATGCAATCCATTTTCATACATTAATCCTCATCATTTTGCTGTCATGATTTTTTTCCTATTAGAGGGATAAAGTGAAAGCATGTTTTCAGAAATCACTAAAAAAATATTTAGCACTTCCTATTGCTCAAGTTTCAAAACTCCTCCTTCTTAAAAGCTTCTAGGGTCCAAAGTTTTTTGAAAAAAATAACAAAAGAAAAATATACTAGAAAATCATGAAAGCCATTCACAGGCTGTCAGGACTATCCTTCCTTTATAAGGATATTTTCTCCTTTCAGATTTGGAAATGTATTTTCTTTGCAAGACAGAGATGCTGATGGATTTTCAATTTTTAAATCTAAGATTAGGTCTAATTGCCTAATTTGCTTTACCCATCCCTTAGAAAACTTATCTGGAACTGTAGCATTTTATACAGTAACTGAGGATGTGTGGCTTGAAAGAAGCTATTGAAGTGCAGAAAAATTGATCAATCATTTGATTGTCAATTCACACATCAGTGAATGACAGCCAGAGCCATTTTAGTCTTATCGTTCCTATAAGAATGTTAGCAATTCAGGCCAATGAAGATCCATTGTGATAATGGAAGTAATAATAGGAGCTGCTGCTTAGACCATGTGCTAGCATTCATGGTGGTACATCATCTCCCCTTGTTCACAATAGGATGAAATGAGAAGGTTATTAGAGACATACGAACAATAAAGTTACCATAAAAACTACTTTCTAAGGATACAGATTTCAATGGTGCAAGCACATTTCTTTCTTTCTCCTTAATTTCAACTCCTCTGAGGCCTTTTGCCATCTTCCCACTACATTTCAGTCTAGGTCACAACAATGCAACCAGCAACACCTTTTCTTAAGAGTTTGTAGTTATGTGTTGCAGGAAATCAGATACACTGTATTATTTCTCCAAACAAAGAGGGAAACACAAAGCCAATGTTTGGAATTTGCCAGATCTAACCAAAACAGTTTCAGATACCTAGTAAGAAAGTAAGAGCACTCAAAAGTGCTGTGGATGCCTGAGGGCCGTGCACATTGAGCTAAGTACAAAATTCCAGGACATTCTCAAATTTTGAAATCTCCTTGCCCAAACTGAGCAAGCTGAAGCAATACTTTATAGGGTAGTTCAAATCCCTGCTACAAAGCCCTCCTGGCATGGAATCATATGTAGCTATGTATTCTGTAAAACAGTTAGAAAACTTAGTTTTCATAAAAACATAGTACTAAGACTAAGTGATTTGACATATTTGACACTTTTAATCATAAATAAATAAAAGTACAGAGGGCAAGTAGAAAATTGAAAGGCAGGTCTCAGTTCTGTTATTCTTTGGCCTTCAACACATAATAATCCAAAACTGAGAAGCACAAACATTTTGTAAAGAGAACTGCCATGAATCCATCAGCTTCAATTCAGCATGGACACACTGGGAGGTAATAAGAGGGGTTAATATGGTGCACTATGATAAAGCTACCATAGGAAAAGCAATCCAGGACCCTCAGAGCACAATGTCTGATGAGAAGTTGTCACTGAAGGCTGAAAGAAAGCTAGGAGACCACAGAGGACATTTATTGATAATTCACTGCTTTGGTTATAAGGTGACATGGGAATATAGCATATATGGTTTCACATTGCATTTGTTGTGAAAATATCCAACCCAAATTGTTGAGGTTAGAGTTTCACTTACTTTTTAGACACTTTCACTGAAAACATGAGGTGCTCAGAACAGCTGGAGTCAGAGGATGATGTGTGCATGTGGCCTGCTTCAAAGGCTGAGTTCCTCATCTCATCCTCATCAAAGGATGAGTTCCTCATCCTCAGTTCCCCCTCACTGCCACCAGTCCAGGGCCATGGCTCACTCCCACCCGCCACCCAAGCTGTCCTGCCATTATTCCCTCACCAATCTTCTCCAAACTGAGGCAGGTTAGCCTTCTGAGTTAAACTAATACCTCTGTGTTAACCTGGCTGTGCTTGATGTAAATGGGCCTGAGCACGATCAGGGGAGCAGTTCATCAGAATACCTGGAAGGGATGGTAACATCCACTGAGGTTTATGAGGAGGTGGTTTAGTAACTTCCCAAAACACCACAGATGGAACAAGGAGCAGAGAAGCGTCCCTGACTTTAGACATAGGTAGCCTTTCCAAAAACAGTAAGGAGGAGTAGGATGAGGTGCTACTTGTTCCTCGACTGTCGACTTAGCAGTGCAAGGGGTGCTTCCCTGAAAGGGGAGACCTCCATGCAGCTCCTTCACCTATAGTAGCGGATGTCAACCAGCAGAAATAAGGGAGAGAAAAAAGTATATGATCATGCCTATACTTCTAAAACCTTGTGGTCAGGATATTCCTCCAAAAGGTTGCATGCCTGGGGTCTAGTCTATGGCTGGACCAAAATTCAGGTTAAATCCTGACATTTCACCATGGCAAGTAGTCATTTTTGCAACGAATAAATAAAACTATCCACGTTTGTTCAGCCTTAATTTTTCCAGTTTCTATAAATCATTCCAGTTCCTAATATATTGTGTCAGTATATTCCAGACATAAATTGGTGAGGACAAAATCTTACACTTATTTCACAAAGGACAAACATTATCTCAAAGGATGTAAAATACAGAAGAAACTCTGTAATTGGAAACTTCTACTGCCTGTGCAAATTTATGTCACAGAGGAAAAGATCTGGACTCTTTCTACAATTTAGAGTTAAAATTTTAATACCTTGGGTTTTTACTTTGATGATTGTGTCTTGATTCATCATATTTTCTCTCTGTAAATAGCTTGTAAGCCAGAAATTTCTGCAAGGCTGTCAACTTTCTCAAATAAATCTTTTGCCTTTTTTTTTTTTTAAAAAAAATCTTATTGATTTGTTTTCCGGAAGTATTTTCCTTTTTTTCTAATGTTTTATTTATCTACCAGTGTTCACATTTTTATCCCTAGAAACCTTTTCATTTGTTTTCTGTGTTTATTTGTTTTTTTTCCTTGTGTGTTTGTCTGCAGAAAAAAACAACAACTTGCATTTCAATAGCAATACTTTATACAGCTGAACATCCCAAAGTGCTTTACATTTAATTACACACTCATAGCAAAGTGACTATATGACAAATGTGGCCTTCGGGATCTCCAGGAAGGGGAAGGCTTGCAAGTCTTTCACAATCAGACCATTGTGCACACATATGCGGCACTTTTCTTGCAAATGAGTAGCACTGCAGACTCTGTATGTGATGCACAGGAGAGAGCTGTAAGGAAATGAAAACAAGAATAAAAAAAAAAAAAAGACTTTTTTTTTCTGAATTTTTTTTTTTTTAACACAGCACTACAGAAGGCAACATGTAATAAAAGACATGAAAAGTTACCTTGCATTTGTTTTGTCTAGTTTATGTGCTGTTCTATTTCTAAATAAATATATAATAATGTGATATAATATATATGTTATATTGTATATATATATAGTATGTTACATTAGGATAATAATATCACATAAAACATAATATAAAATTGTATATTTGCAAATAAATATATGTCATAAGTGTTTTTTTCTTTTGTGACAGTTTGCAGAATGGTTTGCTGCTCGTTAAATGATGAACAAGGAAGCAATCCATAAAATGTTTGCTGCAGAACAAATCAAAAGGGTATTTGAAAATCAAATCATAGTTTTAATAATAAAATTGTCTCATTTTAGCCTCATATATCTTATTTAATGAACAAAATTAATGAGGAGTGTATCTAAGATGCATCATTTTTATGACTGCTGCAGAAATTTTCAATGATTGTGAAGTCAGTAGGAGGTGCCTTTGGTCATATGATAACTTCAGCAGTTATTTAAGAATTTAAACAAATTATTTTAATTTCTCATCCTGAGACATTCAACTGTCTGGCAAGTGGCAGCCAATTCATTTTAGATGTCTGCTATAGCAGCTTTCATTTGCTTTAGTCAGATTTTCTTCATAGCTGTTTTTTGAAATAACTGGACAAGAGAAAGATTTAATCTGAAGCTGTTTTGTAAATATGAGTAATAGTCATGTATTTGTTACAGACTGGTATTGCGGGATTATCTTTCTCATTTTACAGATTAGAAAATCCTGGCAAAATGGTCTGTTTAATTTTCTTAACCAAATTAATGTAGAATGTCTATGTCTATGCCTAGAATAAAATCCCAGTCCAGTGCTTTATCCATGACATTACTGTTTCTCAATGTTCTTGCAATGCTTAACGTCAAAAATGTTGCATCAGGCTAAATGAAATAAAATCTACTTTCCCCATTCCATTATGTTTAAAGGTCACATATATACTAATAACTATTCAAAACACACACACACCAAAATGTTGTAGTTACTACAGGCATCCTTAGCAGTGCTTTTTGATTTGGTTTTCATTCTTACTTTTATACAAAGCTAAGGCAGCAGGAACACAAAATAGCTTTGAATTATAGCGAAAGTCATTAGTTTGAAAGTAACACCAAAAGACTGTACTAGGACCTAGCATTTCTTCCCAAGTATTTTGTTGAAGAAGGCTGAGAAACACAGAGTCCTTTTGCAGATGTTCCAGACTAAAAACAAACCCAAAGCATCCAACTCACCACATCCTCTAGCTACAGTACAATCGCAGCGGCATACAATAATGCAGTCACCATGCACAGTGAGGTGGTTGTGCCAGCAAGTCGGTCCTGCTCAGCACTCCTAGGGGCCAGTTCTGCACGTGTGCTGTGGACACTGCAACACACAAAGCCCAGAGGCTGGCTCCATGCCACAGGTGGCATCACTACACATGATGCTGTCGTGCCTGTCCCTGCAAGCCCATGGCATCCTCCACACACAACAGTACATTTGCCTGGTCCCTTGTACCAGCCATATTATATTGGATGCTGACCATGCACAGCTCCTGTATATTGTCAGACTCAAGTTTAGCTCTATTTCTCAAGATTTCTCACAAACATTTCTCCAGCCTCTGAAAGCTGAGCAAACAAAACACAAGAGGCAAAGTGTTACAAAAACAGTAAAGGCTATTTTCAAACCACAGCAAAATGCTTTTTTTAATTCACAGCTGATCTCAAGTCTGTTCTCCAATTTTAATATCATACTCTGTAGTTTTATTTATTTATTATTTTTTTTAATATAACAGGCTTTTCTTCCCACAGTCAATCCTCAAGCCTGGTATGTGATGCTGTATGCAACAGTTTTGCAGATGGGCTTCACTTTGGTTGATATTTCCCACCCTTGCAGCAACCTGCCAAAGTTGTTTTAAGAAAGTGAAAAGGGAAGAGTTTACAAAAATAAAAGAGTAGGGGGCTAGTCTGTATCTTACCTAACTTTAACAAGTTATATTTTCATCACAAAGTATTGTATGAAAAAATCAAATATCACTTTCATGGGATAATATAGTTCTAAATAAAGCTGACATTGTAACATCCAGGCAGATGTAAGCCAAGATGCTCACAGGTGATGGGTGCTTTGGAAGTCTCTGGCTCCATTCAACAGTCATTCACTGAATGACTGTTAATGCAAACACTGATGTGATTATGGGGCCCAGATTATTATTTGCCTTCAATTTTAAAGCTGAATTTAGGCTTATACTTGTGTTCAATGTGAATGGTAACCCAACACTGAAGAACATTATCAAGAACATTTTGCATCTTGGGGCTCTTCTAAAACAAAACTAAGCTCCACTTTCATTCGTGCCTTGTAACTACCAGCTTCCAGGGCACTAAGAGCCCAAATCCAATGCCCTAAATTTGGGAGCAAGGAATTTAGGACAGCAGCTGGGAGCCACCTCCAAGCAGTAAAGGCCAATTGCAAACCTTTAACTCATGATTAGTAGTCTATCAGTGACTAACTGGAGATTTCCAAGCACTTTGGTCTCACCATCCAAATGTAAACACATTCTCACTTTTTCCCTGCCACCCTTTCTTGTTGCACTTCTCCGTCTGTTTCTCTCATAAAAGCAGATCTTCTCCTCTCCCCTATAGCTCATATACATGAATTCAACATTTCCAGCTTTTGACTAATTTGACCCCACTGTTTGCTCCTCAAATGACTGTAATTCCTTCCTTTCTTTTCAAACTCTGATTTTTGCTGCATTTCATGTCCAGTTTATAGCTCTTTTCTTCTTGCTATTTTCATCTACTGTCCAGTAATGAGCCTTATCTGTCTATTTACATCCTTGTACAAAGACACTTCAGAAGAAGTTATCCAATTTTCTTTACCCTTATACGTTTTCTGATCTAGGCACAAAACCAAAATATTGCATTCTAACTGAGCAATATTTCACTAAGCTTTTACTTTTATACTGGAAGTCAATACAGCACAAAAATTGTTCTGCTAAATGAATGCAACACAGACTTTTCCTGGCATATTCTAGTATAAGGAAGCTGCAACGAAGAGAAGAAAGATTATATATTCCAAATCATCTCAGCTACCCTCTTTATCATTATTATTGCCTCCATTTTCTACTGCATTTTAGAGTATATTCTAAATGGAATATTAATATTAATTTCTTTCTTCTTCATGAGAGTTCAGATAATTTGGGATAATTAAGGGAGAGAGGAGAGGAGAATCCATCGTGGGGTTATAAATCTCCAAGGAATGTGTTAGTTTTGCATTTTAGTTCTGCTGAAAAATGTAAATGCTTCAATTAGTGTAAAAATCAGAGTCTGCCTCTCTCATTAACAACGAGGCCTCTAACCTCTCACCTTGCCCATATCAGAATCAGAGGATTCTGAAATGAGAAAGTCGGCCCATTTTTCTAAACACAGAAATTGCTCTTTAAAAAAAAAAAAAAAAAAAAAAAAAAGCAATCAGAATTTATTATTTTTTTTTCTTTTATTTAAAGATCTAATTAGCTACCAGAAAAGGCTTATCCAGAGAAGTTTGTGCCTGTTACACGTGATGGGAAAGCTGGTGTGCTCACGGACAGTATTACAATAGGTTTGAAGTGAACATAATAGGGCTGGGTATCAACAGTAGTGGAATGAATCTCCTCAATCTAAATATTCCAAGTTTCATAAAAATCTGTCAATAAGGGAGCTGAGGGAAGTTTCAGTGCTTCCCTAAACTATCCCACAGCTAACGCAGCCTAAAACCTCCTAAAGGCTGATTGAAATCGATTCATACACAGGTGGAATGCTACAGATCTCTCTTCTCAGCCTTTATAAAGGGAGATTTAGTAGGAGATTTTTTATTTATTGAGAGATTCGTATTATACCAAGTTCAATACTCCTCCAGCCCACAGTTACCCAGAAAGGCACGCTTAAACAAATGCCTGATGTATTTAGCGCATAGGAGACCAAATAAATCAGGGGAAAAGAATATAGCTCCTACCATACACATCCATTCTGCACACATTCATTTCTAACCTAGGGGCTTGGGGGGCAAGGAGAAAATCACTGCCTAGGCTGATGATTACTTCTCCTCAGTGAATAAAACCCACGTGTGCAAAACAGCAATGCAAACTCACCTGCTCCTTTTGCATAAAGATGGTTCATCTGCAATGATTGAATTAATTGAAGGATTAGCCTTCTGTTACCATTTTTGACCTAAGGTTATTCTGCTAATTTTCCTCTTACCAGAGGATCTTCTAAGCACTATGGCATACATAATCTCATAGCATTTCCTCAATGTAGTATATTTTCAAGGCCATCAGTCCTAGTCATAACTTCTAATCTTTAATTTCTACCATGTATTATTCAGGCTAACATTTTATAAAGTTTGAATCAGATTTTAATACATTAACTGTTTCAGACAGGGGCCCAGTTGTTCAAATGCATTCAGGATATTGGCCCCTTTTTGCACAGAGGAAAATTTATTTGCATAAAGGAATTAATATGGAGAAAGGCCATGTTATCACCTCATGCAACACCCTGAAACCAGTCATATCTTTTGATTATTTTTCAAATCCATTCTAAGCACCGTTAACAGATCTATCTTCCCAATCCATCTGTTCTGCTTGCTTTTGATACCACCTGTACTCACTTCATGGCACCATGTCCAGCTGACACCAAGTCTGCTCCTTCAGTGAAACTAGCCTCAATCAATCCATCTCCACATTGCCCTCTTTCCTGGTCTGTGATGAATTCCAAAACAGTTTACTTCTTCAAAGTAACTTCTTAAACCTACCTCTACCATATTGCCTTCAAAACAGTCTTGTTAATACTGGTCCAAGTACCTGAGCTGCCTTTTTTATTTTTTTTTTTTTTAAAGCCTAAATTACATTAATCTCAGGCTCTCAAAATATTTTGCATCATGGTACTAAAGACCATGTAGGTTCTGGTTCAAAATTCCACAGGAAAAACACCACTAGGACAGTGACCATAATGTACTTAGATCCAACATCCCCTCTGAAAGCAGCAAAGAGTAAAAATTCACCACAGTAGTGTTGAACTTTGAACAGTGGAAGTATGCAAAAATGAGGAAACTTCATAATAAAGAAGCAAAAAGAGAAAGCTAAGAGAATGAAATCCTTCTGAGAAGCACTACCAAAACACATCCTACTGAAAGCAGGGCTTCGATGCATCCTGTCTGTTAGGAAAAGCTTGAAAAACAATAAAAAGAAGCAGGTGTGGTGGAGCAGTGAGCTAAAGATTTGGGAAGTAAAAGAGGTTATTAGAATTGAGAAGACATCATTCAAAAAGCAGAAGCTGTATCCAAATGAAGAAAATAAAAAGGATCATAAACTCTGGCAGATTAAATGTAAAAATATAATTAGGCAGGCCAAAAAAGAGTTTGAGGAACAGTTGGCTGAAGCAATCAAAAGTAGTACTAAATTCCTGTTGCAGCACATCAGAGCAAAAAGCCTGCCAGGCAGTCTGTAGGGCGCACTGACAGCCGGGCTGAGTATTCAGAGAGGGGAAGGCTGTCGCAGAAGAGCAGAAGGAATATTTGTATCACGGTGCGCTGTGGAAGAAACAGGAGATTTCTTCGCTAGAAGCCTTCTCGGAAGTCATTGCTGCCAAGGGTCCATCTGAGATATCAGTAACTGTGGAAAGGCTACTGTAAAGTTCCCGTAAGTGCTAACAAAACCTCTGGACTGGGAAGTATTTAGCCAAGAGCTCTGAGAAAACCCAAGGAGATCAGAGATGAACCACTAATGTGACCTCCCAGTTTCACTTTTTGGGTACCATTAACACTAAATGCTAGCAAATATAGTGCCAGGAAGGATTCAGAGAGCTACAGGCTTGCAAGATGTTATCTCTAGTGCACAAATTTGTAAAAGATACAACAAAGGACAGACTTTTTATCTAAGATGCCTATCTAAATGCAGTCTACTTGGAAAAGCCAATGCCGGTTCTGTAAAGGGAATTTCTTCCTTGTAAAATACATTAAAGTTTTTTGAAGTTGACAAGCATGTGGGTTGGGTTAGCCAGTCAAGCAAAGTACAGCTGGATTTTCAAAGTGCTTTTGACAAAGTCTCTCATTAATGGTTTCTAAAGAAACGTAGCAGCCATGGGATAAGAGGGAAGAACCTGGCAGGGACAGGTAACTGGCTGATAGACGTGAAATAGGTCTGTCCTTGCAACAGAACAAATATCCTTCACTGTGAAATTGTGCTAGGGTCTGCTCTGAGACATGTGATGTTTAACATATTCCTGAATGACCTGGAAAGGTGGCTGTCTAGGGCAGTATCAAAGTTTGCTGAGAATATGAAATTATTCAAGGCAGTACTGTGAAGGACCACAGAAGACCTTACAAGTCTAAATGACTAGAAGAGGAAGTGGCAGATGAAATTCAGTTTCAGGAATTATAAAGTAATGTATGTGTCCAAGAACATTGTCAGCTTTACATATAACATGATGGACTCTGAGCTGACAATTGCTATTTAGGAATGAGAGCTTGAGGTTACAGCAGACAGCTCCATGGAAGCATCAGCTCAGAGCTCAGTAGCAGTCAAAAACAAACAATCAAAACCAACACGCACAAAAATACAACTCAAAGGCAAACCAAAAATATAATGAGTCCGTTGATCTGCAGACTGATTTGTTGGTTTTTTTTTTTTATTATTATTATTTTTTTCAGTTTGGGTCCCCTTATCTCAAAAAAGGATACATTTGAGGTGGAAAAAGCTCAGACAAAGATCAACTATGATAAACTATGGAATGGTTTATAGAGTTCTGAAATCTTACGAATGCTGTGGAGTGAATGGATAGAGACTGTTTGCTGTCTATCCACTGCAAGAACTAAAGACTGTCAAATGAAGCTTATAGGAACTAGATTTAAAGCAAATAAAAAGAGACAGCCCTCACACAAAGGTGGTTTGCCTGTGCAGCTCCTTGTCAAAGGAAGTTGTGCATACAAGAAAATGATGTGGGCTCAACAGGAAGTCAGACAAATTCTTGTAAGACACATCCACTTGTCTAAATGCAGCTTCCAAGACACGTTACTAAATAGAGCTCAAAAAGCTCAGGAAGTTCTTTGAGCTGAAAGTAGGTAAAGGCCAGGAGAGCATTAAGGGGAAGTATTAGTCTTGTTCTGTTCTTACAGGACTTGTGCTCACAAGAGAGGATCCCAGGGGTCCTTGTTCTAACTCAATTTAGCCATTTTTTCTGATGAGCAATCCTCTTCTCTATCCATGCTCACATTCAACATCTAAACTGTCTGCTTTCAGGAGCAAGAACTTCATGTTGTCCTGCATGTCGTGCATCAAGGTTTACACTGATGCAGAATTCAGTCCTGGGAGCCAGTTCCGACTTTATGCACCCTCACTGCAAATTGGGTGATATCTGTGACTGTCAGGCAATTTTCAATACATTTACATAGAAGCAAATGAGATCAAGACTAGGTGACAATTCCAGGCAGAAACTAAGTGAGATACATCAGCAGAGGCTGATTTTATCTGCAAAACAATACACATCAGGTTTATTAGAGAAAAATGGATTTTTCTTTTGTAGTTCTTCTGGCGTGATGATGCAAAGTAACACAACTAGACTTCATATATCTGAAAAAGCACAAAGATGATTTCTCAGCAATAGTGCTTTCCCAATGAGAGAGAAACACTTCAGTGCCT